ACAGGGGTTTCCTGGAGAGGGAGCACACCCCCTGCCGGGCCCCTCGAATGGGACTTTGCTCCCAACACTCATAAAGACTTGCTTCTCTCAGGGGCTTGGGTTTTCAGTGGTCCTGGAGCCGGCAGAGGCCCAGAACATGCTCGGTGATTGGGGGAAAGATGGGGTGCCATATGGGTGGGAGAACAGGGGAGGCCCACTTCACTCCTGCTGGGGGCTCCCTGACACCCAGGTGTGACCAGGCTGCTTCCAGACACAATCACCCTCAGTACCCAGCATGGGGCTGTCTTGTGTTTGCAATGGTGGGGTCCCCCCATCTTCCCCCCTCCTCCTGGTAGCCAGGCTCCAGACAGTGAAAACACTGTCCAACAGGGGGACAGCCAGGCTCACCCCAAATGCTGTGATCTTGGACAAGCCACTTAACATCTCAGAGTCTCAGTCTGTTTATGCTGAATGTGCCGCGTACCCTCCCAGGGTCTAAACCCAGGCGCCCTGTCACCATTAGCGAGGCCATCTTCGCCAGAGCAGTAAGCACCTGGTCCCGGTCACAGCCAGTCAGGCCCGGAGCCGTCCTGGGTCCTGCACACTCAGGACAGGGTGCTGGGTGCTCCTCAGCAGGGAGGGAACATGCCAGGCAAACACTTTTCAGCTTGTAAACAGTCATTAAAGAGGGAGTAAACCCAATTTCCCAGAACTCTGCCCTGGGGCTTGCTGGTTCCCGGGATAAGGCTGGCCCCGCCCCTGGGATGCTAGGGCTTCAGGGCACTTGGACACAGGTGCAACCAGGCCTCTCATACCAGGGGGGCTTGAAACCTACCTACGCCCGGCCGGTGTGGCTCAGTGGTTGAGCGTGGACCCTGCACCAAGAGGTCCCGGTTGGATTCCCAGTCAGGGCACATGCCCCGGTTGCGGGCTCAATCCCTGGTAGAGGGTGTGCAGGAAGCGGCCGGATAATGTGGATGCTTTGCTCTCTCATCGATGTTTCTCTCTCTCTCTCCTCTCTCTTGAAAAAAATCAATTTAAAAAAAAAGAAAACCTACCTACATATCACCGCCCCTTCCCCTTCCTCCGGGGCAGCCTGGGTTCTCTTGTTGAGGAATGAGGGCGGGGGCATGAGACAGGGCTTCAATCCTGCCTTGACCACTTACCCTGCTGGGAGACTGGGCAAATGACCACATCGGAGCCTGTGTTCTCTGCTGTGAAAGGGGACGATGCCCCCTCCCACCCGGAACCAGTCGAGATGACATGAGATCACGAATGTACAGCGCCTGATGCCCTGTTGATGGCCAGTAACTGATATCCTGGCTGACCTTTGCCATCATTACTCACTGGTCTCTAAGTCTGAGCCAAGAACCCGGAGGTAACAGATCTCTGTTTGACAGGTGGGGAAACTGAGGCTCAGAGAGGCTAAGTCACCCGTCCAAGGTCCCATAGTTAGGGGCTGGGGGGCTGACCGCCCCCCCACACACACACACACACTCTGCAGCCTCCTAATTCTGCAGCCTCCTATCATCTTTGAAACGGTGAGACAAAGGAGCACAAGCGCAGGCCTGGGGTGGTGGCTCTGAGGAGTCCAGCTCGGGCAGTTCTAGGAGTTCGGGCCTTTGATTCAGGGGCCCCTCCCGCCCCCTCCAGCAGAAATGACATCACCCAACACCTGGGTACTCTTCTCAGTTTATCAAAGGCTCTCCCATTCTCTGTCCTTATCTTGTAATCTTCCTTGGCTGATGTGGTCAGACTGTGTTTCCAGGTCCTGCTCCAGCAGTTCCCCACCTTCTCTTCCAGGCCTTCCGGGGCCACGGCAGAGCATGACCCAGGAGAGCCCCCTGGACGGGAAAGGTGCTTGCCCCAGGGCGCCAGGGGCAGGACCACCGAAGGGTGCTCTTGGCAAGGGCTCCGGGGTCACACGTGGGAAGAAGAGAAGACCAAGGTTCCGGGCAGCCTGCCCAGCACTTGGCCCCAAGGGCCCTGGAGCAGAGCTGTGCATCACCGCCTCTGTGACATCCACCCTCCACACCGTCATGACACACATGCTGGCAGCGGGAAAACCCCTGGGCGGAGGTGGCAGCTCACGCCTGGTCCTCCACTCCTACATCGAAACACATCCTTAGTCCCTTGGTCTACATGGCACCGCAGGCCGCTCCTAGCCAGAACGGCCCCTATCATAGGACAACACAGCACTGTCCCCTTCTTCAGCAAGTTCTCACCCAGTGCCCCCAACAGCCCACGGTGTACGGCTCCATCACCAGGCACACAGACATGCTAACAGCAGCCATGATACCATTACCTGGACGCTCCCTTGCCGTGCTCTGCGTGTGGCTGGGCACCGGGCCCAAGGCTTCATACGGACCACCGTGGGAACGCTCACAGCAACCCTCCCCCACGGACCACTGTCACCCACTGTACAGCTGGAGAAACTGAGGCACAGACAATTTACTGACCCCATTCCACTAACCACACTCTCCGAGACCACTGTGCTTACTGGCCTCTGGGAGTCACTCCTTCCCTCCACCCAGCAGGCCAGGGTCTGTGAGCAGTTCCTGGGGGAGCCCGGAACATCCTTCCTTCTCAAGGCCTTGGAATTGCAAATGAGCTGTGTCTGGGAGGGTCCCTGGATATATTTCCTGAATGAGGGAATGGGGACCTGGTGGTACTCTGTAATTCCCTGAAGATGATGAGAAAAGGTGAATTTTTCATCACGCCCGTCTAACTCACACCGGGAGGCGACAGTCACTTTATGGGCAGTCTAGGGAAGGCCTCCTTCTCCCTAAAGACAGGGCAGGCCAGGCCCCTCCTCCTGGCCCGTGTCCTGGGAGCTGCCTCGCCTGGCAGCCTCAGCCTGGTGGCCAGGCCAGGTCAGCCTGCAGTCCGGGAGGGCGCTGACGTTCTCACCACTCCTCCCCCGGCCTGGCTCAGCAGGGTAGGAAACTGGGAGCAGGCTGTGAACTCACTGGGAAATCCCCGCGGTGGCAGGACAACAGGAGGCCTGCTCCAGAGGGGGCGGCACCAGGACCCACAGGGATGGGGGGGGGCAGCAGAGGACTCCGCCCCCGAAAGTGCAGGGTGGGGCCGGCAGCGGGCCACCGCGCTCACTGCTCATGCCCACCAAAGGGAAGGACCGGGTCACCTGGATGTGAACAGGTCCATGCACGCAGACACACACCCCTCCCTGACTTGTCCCTGCTCTCGTCTGCTGTCTAGTCTGGGGCAGAGTTTACCGAGCAAGTTGGCAGGAACCCTTCGAAGAGGCCGCGGCAGTGTCCTGAGTGCTGGTCCCCCTAAGAACACCCCTGCTAACCCAGAGCCAGACTCCAACCCCCGTGGCCTCTCCATGTGTCTGGGCGAGTTCCTCCTCCTCTCAGAGAAGAGCGGTCCCGTGCTGGCAGCGAGTGCGCGACACCAAGTAGAGGTGCAGCTCAGAAATGGGCGAACCAGGTAGGTCCGTGTCAGGGCCGGTGGCACAAGGATTAGGGCTGGGCCTGGGAGGGGGCAGCTCAGGTTCCATACTGAGCTCCAGCGCCTCCTGAACAGCTCTGTGCGAGTCACGTGCTACCTCGTGCCTTGGACAGATACAAACGGGCTGCTACTGTGGTTTTTTGTTTTACTGAAAAGATGGGAGTCTCACTCCAGCCCTTTAAAGTTAAAAGGCTAGCCCTGGCCAGTTTGGCTCAGTGGTTAGAGCGTCAGCCTGCGGTCCAGAGAGACCCGGGTTCGGTTCCCGCTAAGGGCATGTACCTCGGTTGCAGTTTGTCCCCGGCCCTGGTTGGTCGTGTGGGTGGCAGCCACTCGATGTGTCTCTCTCACATTGATGTTTCTCTCTCTCCCTCCCACTCTGAACAAAAAATGGAAAAATGTTCTCGGGTGAGGATAAAAAATAAAATAAAATAAAAATAAAGTTAAAAGACTAAAAAAACCAAAAAAAAAACAAAACAAAACCCAAAACCACACAAACACAAAAACCCCAAAGCAAAATGCAGAAGTCAAACTAGAAACTGCCACCTGCCCTCTCCCCCTACCAGGGTCCCAGGGTCCAGAAGTGCACATGACAAGGGGCAGTGGATACTGCCAGGAAATGGGAAGGAGGGCAGTGGAGGAGGATGGCCTGGGCACCTGGGCATGGGTGGCTGCTCCATCCCATCCTGCCCTTGGGACAGCCACCCGCTCCATTCCCTGAGAGCACATCCCTTGAGCCCAACTCAAACACTTCAGAGTCATCCCTACCAGGAACTCCCCTGCTTTCTGGCTCTGACATCCTCCACCTCACTGTTGCTCAGCTAACACCACGAGCTCTCCCACAGAGACCTCCAGCCTGACCACAGCGGAACACTTTTTTTTTTAAAGAGAGAGAGAGAAACATCGAAGTAAGAGAGAACCATCGACTGGTTGCCACCCACATGACCCCAACTGGGGCGGGGACAAACTATAACCAAGGTACGTGCCCTTGGAGGGAACCAAACCCAGAACTCTCTGGTCCGCAGGCTGACACTCTAACCCCTGAGCCAAACCGGCCAGGGCCCACCGCAGAACTCTTTGTTGCAGGAGGGAAGCAGATTGGGGAGCCACAAGGAATTAGGAGCCTTGTTATACCCTTTGGGTGTTATTTTCCTGCTGTAAATACTGGAAGAGTTAGGCGTGATTTTAGAAAGGAAAATTCCAACCGGTTCCACGGCACCAGGTGTCCGTGCCCACGTCAGCAACCCAGCTTTGGGAAAATCTGAAAACAGAGCTCATACCCAGGGATCATCTGAGTTCCTGTGTGGGAGGCTGCCCTAGGGGTGAAGTATTTCAGGACTGTTCCCTTCCCCTCGTCTCAGCTCCTCCCCATGGCACCCAGACCTACTTCCTGCAAGGCCCACGGTTTGAGCAGGAAGAGGCAGGCTTATGGCACCAAATAACTGCCCTTGGACCTCCTTACCCTTATCTCAGGTTTATTCCAAGTTCTTCCCCAAAGCCCTGGGGAAACTGAGGCAGGGAAGGGAAGTCAAAGAGAAGTACAGGCATACCTCAGATATTGTGGGTTGGGTTCACAGACCACTGCCATAAAGTGAGTCATAATCGTTTTGCTGGTGGAGGGTACGCAACATCGGTGAAACGTGATCAAGTGCACCGCAGTAAAACGAGGTAAAATGTCTGTTACTTGATGGGCCAGGTGCTGTGGCGGGATTTCTCAACCTTGGCACAGCACTACTGACATTTTGCGCTGGATGATTTTTTGTCGTGGGGGCTGTCCTGTGCACTGCGGGATGTTTAGCAGCACCCCTGGCCTCTACCACGAGATGTCAAATAGCAGCAACACCCAGCCCCCTCCCCTGGGCTGTAACAACCAAAATATTGTTAGATATGGTCAAACACCTCCTGGCCAGTAAAATGACTGAAAGCCACAAGCTTCAGGTTCCCCCTCTCCCTCTGCTCTACCTCTAGAGAGTGACAGGAACATGACAGATCTGGGCTCATTATTCCACCAGCAAATGTCACACACAGGGAAATAGCAGCCAGTCCATGTGCGGGGTCAATCCCTCAAGCCTCACCCTCCTCTGACACCCCAGTTCCACAGCCTGCTCCCTTACTCGTTCACCCAGCTAGGCAAGGGCTGAGACCTGGGCTCCCCCTCGCCCTGGGGTGGGGGACATATGTCTCCCTGGGGACTTATGCCTCTCTAATATAACCCAAAAAGAGGGGGCCAACTTTTCCAAGGCCTTCAGTCCAGAAGTCAAGACCCCTGTGGCCCATTTCTGAGCTCTGGCCCTGCCTGGCTGTGCTAGCCCACCTTCCCACACCAGCTGACACCTTGTGAGGGCTGCTCATCCCACAGAGAGGGGAGAAGGTCTGAATTCCAGACCCTTCTGGGACTACGCGGGGCTGCTCTGGGGCAGTCCCCTCTCTTCCTCCCGGGGCTTTAAACTTCTACCCACTCGTCGTGCCCCCGCATCGGGTGACCCTTGGCCCAGGGACCCCTGAGGCGTCCTGTCCGAGCTGAGCCCCAGGGGCTGGCAGACCTGGTCCCGCAGCCCCGTCAGAATCCAGTCCCGACCTCTGGCGTCCGGCTTGGCCCACGTGGGGCCCGAGAGCTCCGAAGGGCGGGCACCACCGCCAGCAGCGCACCGCTGCCCCGGGGCGGGCTCGGGCGCGCCACCGCGGACCCCTCCGGTGCCTGAGGCCCTGCGGCGCAGAGCCCAGTCCCACCTGTCGCGGGTGCTCACCTCCCTGCGGCCCCAAGTCCCCGGGACGTAACTCCGAGCCTCCGAGCCGTGCAGCCGAGCAGCTGGGCCGTGGCTCCTGGGGGCGGAGCCCTGGCGCCCCGCCTCTTCCCTACCTGCGCGGGGGCAGCGAGGGCGTGGCCGGGCTCCGGGGGCGTGGCCGGGCAGCGGGGGCGGAGCGGGGGCGGGGCCGGGCTCCGGGGGCGGGGCCGGGCTCCGGGGGGCGGGGCTCTCGCCTGCCCCAGCGGCCCTCGGTGTCCTCCACCGGTCTGTGCGCCGCGCCTGCCCCAGCGCGCTCCGCCCAGTGGGGTCCCGGCCTTTGCTGAGCCCTGTTTTCCGCCGGAGCGGCTGTCTTCCGGGCGTTGTCCCCTCCTCGTAATCTTACAAAGCACATAACCTAAGTCTGAACTGCCGTCTTCACGTCACCCCCGGGAAAACCCACTCCGACAACAGCCACCTCCCGGTCCCCTCCGTCCAGCGCCCTCATGCTCCGGCCAAATGGGCCTGCTCCCTCGAACCTTTTAGCCCTCACCTTGTCCCTCAAACACCTTGGGAGCAGCTCGGCTACTCCGAATCCTGCCGCAGCCGCCGCCTCCAGGAAGCCGGCTCTGATCTCCGCCACCGCCGCTCTGCTCCATTACCGCGAACGCGCCCTCCCCCGCATCCTCCCGGGCGGGGGCCCCTTCCCAGGCTGGGGCCGGGTCTTGCCTAACTCCCCCCGCCCCCACCCGCCCGGGGCTCCCAGCGCGGAGCGGGCGCCGGCTGCAGCGAGCGGAGTGTCCGCCGCAGGATCAACCGCGCTGGGCGCTTGGTGGGCGGCGGGGTGGGGTGGGGATGTTTCTGCGGGAGTCAAAGCGATGACCCTTTACGGAAGACCCACTAAACACCTACGCTGTCCCGGGGCCGACGACACAGAACCCTCCCGAGGGGGCAGCATCTTCGCTCACACCGGCACCTGCAGTGGACGCGGACCCGGAGATTCGGGGCGGCTTCGGCCTCCCGGGCAGGGCTGCCTCGGCCCAGGCCCCTCCGAGCCTGTTCTTAATCTGCAAAGCAGCGCAGCCTGTCCTGCCTTCTCACTTGGTTGCTGATGGCGGTACAGTGAATGGCGGTTGTGAAATAGCGAGTGTGGTTAGCTCCTGGGGTTCTTACCGGAGGGAGACCCGGGATTCAGATTCTACCCCTGCCATTTACCGCCGGTGTGGCCCTGGACAAATCCTTCGCCCTCCCGGCCTCGCTTCCTGCTCTGTGAAGTGAGGGTAACAACAGGCCCAGCCTCTCCTAAGAAGCCTCTTGAAGGGCACGTGGCTCGGGCTCAGCACTGTTAGCAGCTGCTGTTATTGTTATGTTATCACAGGAGAACCACGCTGTCGAGGCCGTGTTTCAGGGCTCTTCGCTGCAGTTTCTCCCCTAACGCTGCTGCTCCTTCGGAGTGGGGGCGGGCGTCGCTCCCACCCCCCACCCCACCCCTACCCCCACCCCCCACCCCACCCCTACCCCCACCCCCCACCCCTGCTGAGTACCTCCGCCTCTGCCCCGTAGCCAGAGCCAAAATTCGTGAAACTCAATCCCAGAGGCAGGGAGGGACTGGACCTGCCCGACTCCCTCCAGCTGGTGGGTGCTGGCGGGAGAGGGCAGGGGTGCAGAGTAGGGGCTGACCCCCTGCTAGCGCCCAGGTCACTCTTGGCTTGGATCTACCTGCCCTTCTTTCTTGCTGGGTCGCAGAGGACCTGGTCTAGCCTCCTGGTCCCTGCCAGACCAACACAACAGTGAAGGGGTGTGTGCGTTGGGGGCGGGGGAGGGGGGGATGCAGGAACAACTCCAAGGTCCGATGCCTCTTTCCCAGCCCTTCCCTGGAGGAGCAGGTTTGAAGAAAGTCTGGCCTTGGGGGGAGGAGGAAGAGTTCTGAAGCTGTGGAGACCTGTTGGTCTCGGGGGTCACCAAAACCGTGGCTCTTGCACGGCTCAGTGGTTGAGCATCAATCCATGCTGGTCAGGGCAAATGCCCAGGTTGTGGGCCCGAGCCCCAGTGGGGGGCATGCAGGAGGCAGCCAATGGATGTTCTCTCTCATCGATATTTCCAGCTCTCTCTCCCTCTCCCTTCCTCTCTCTAAAATCAATAAAGAGCCCTGGCCAGTTTGGCTCAGCGGTTAGAGCGTCGGCCTGCGGTCCGGAGAGACCGGGGTTCGGTTCCCGCTAAGGGCACGTACTTCGGTTGCAGTTTGTCCCCGGCCCTGGTTGGTCGTGCGGGTGGCAGCCACTCGATGTGTCCCTTCACGTCGATGTTTCCCTCTCTCTCTCCCTCCCACTCTATCTGTACAAAAAATGGAAAAATGTCCTCGGGTGAGGATAAAAAAAAAAAAAAAATTAAAATCAATAAAGAAAACCAGATTAAAACAAAACAAAAAACCTTGGCTCTTCCCAGAGCTTCTAACCCCTCCCCTTTTATCACTGACTGGCTGAGGTAAGAAGTTAAGAAATGGAAAGGGGGAGGGGCTCCTGACTGTGGGGACTGTCCAGAGAAAGGCCTCTCCTCCTCCCCAGCCTTGGGAACGCGCACACTGGGGGGTGGGCCAGAGCAAATGCAGGGACCCAGGGTGCAGTGGGGCGCAGAGAGGAAGACCAGGGCCTAAGTGCGAAATGCTGGACTCTACAGGGGAGATGGGAGAGACCCTCTAAAAGGAAGGAGAGGGGCAGCCAGCCACTCTGGGCCTTCCCTGGGAAAGTGCTGGAATGTGCTATCTCACGTAATCCTTGGGACGGCTCCATTATCATCATCTCTGTTTCAGGGATGGGAGAACTGAGGCTCAGGGAGATAAAGGCGGAGCAGCTGGAGTTTGAACCCAGTCACCGTCTGACTTTACGCCCCAGCAAATGCACAGACACCTGAGCTGTATGTATGGTCACCCCTGGAGTCCCCAGGAGGGGAGGGGTTCATGCTGACGGTCCACGATCCACGTCAGGGATTTGTCCCACAGATACTTGGCACCTGCTCAGTGACGGAGAAGCAATCTTGGCTGCAGGGACAGGCACCTGTCCAGCCGGAGGGAAGGGTGTTAAACAGACCAAGGGTGTAATCTGTAGTGATGTCTCACAGCTGTTAAAAGCAGGGAGGCCACTCTCTGAGCTGCATGGAATACATCCAAGAGACAGGAAGCGAAAAGAGCAAGGTGTATGTTTAGTATAATTCCATTTACTTACATTTAAAGGAACATACAAATATATGCTGGTAGATCCACAAAAACTTTCTGGAAGGGTATCTGTGGAGTAGCCCTGCATGGTGGGGGGTTGTGGGGTGAAGAGGAGGGAGACAGAGACTTGCCTTTTCTTTCACAGAATGTGTGTGTATTGCTTTGATAACTTACAGAAAAACACAGTCTAAACTTTTGTTTTTAATGGGCCTAAAGGTGTAGGGAGGATCATGGCAAGTGGGGCTGAGGAAGTGGGTATCAGGTGGAGAGAGAACAGAGACACGGGAGCGAGGAAGCCCTGGTTATGGTGGGGAAATTCTGGGCCCCTAGTTTGGCTGCCCCACAGGATGTGTCTGTTGAGAGGATAATGGGCAACAAGCTTGGGAAGGTAGGTGGGCATGTGCTGGAGGTTCGCACTATCAGGTTCAGGGGTTTATATATGTATTAAAATATGTCTTCATTGATTTCTTAGAGAGAGAGGAAGGAAGAGAGAGAAATATCCATGATGAGGGAAAGATCAATTGGCTGCCTCCTGCGCACCCCCTACTGGGGATCGAGCCTGCAACCCAGGCACGTGCCTTGACAAGGAATCGAACCGGGACCTCTCAGTCCATGGGACAGTGTTCAACCCACTGAGCCACACCAGCCGGACAGGTGTTTATATTTTATCCAGTAAGCAATGGGGAGTTTTCACGCCAGGAAATTGCACCAATATTTCACACTTGTGTAGCCCTCTTTGAAAAGGGCTTCCTCAGACATGAGTACACGTTTTAATCTTGACAGCAATCCTGCAAGGTAGGCAGGGTGGGCTTTGCAGATGAAGAAGCAGGCTGTTGTGGGCTCACCGCCACACACTCAGAGTTTTAAAACGAGAAGCCTTTGGCCTTTGTAAGCACTGCTTTTCTGGAAGGCAGGAGAGAGCAACCCCAGCCGATTCCCCGACACATCAGTCCCAAGGCCCCCTCGTGACATTTACATCAAGATTAGACCTCGTGACCCTTGAGAGAAAAGGGGAAAGAAAACTTGAAGTCATAAGTTAGCAAAATAAATAAATAAAAATAAAAAGGACTCTGATAACATACTTTTGAAGGATGTCCCTGTGTTTTCCCATGGAATAAAGTATTAGGGGGTCTCTTTGTTAGCTGAGATTTGAAAATTTTAGAACATGGAATGAAATCCCACTGAGTGAAGAGATGCTGATGTTCTTGTCGCGGTTCAGAGAGGTTTAGGGCTGTGCTCAAGGCCACACAGCTGGTGGAGCACAGAGCTGGTGCAGAACCCAAGGCCACACTCTTAATTTTTTTAATTAATGTATTTATTTTATCCAGACCCGAGGACATTTTTGCATTTATCTTGAGATAGAGCAGGAGGGAGAAAAGGAGGAAGAGAGAGAGAGAGTCGCAGTGTGAGAGAGACACATCACTAGTTGCCACCCACATGACCCCAACTGGGGCCAAACTGCAACCAAGGTCCATGCCCTTATTGAGAACCGAACCTGGGCTTCTCTGGTCCGCGGGCTGACGCTCTAACCACTGAGCAACCCGCCAGGGCCCAAGGCCACCTTCCAGCCACCTTGGAACATACCCAATTTCAGAAGGGTCCTTCTGGCTGTGCTTAAGATAAATTGTTTGAGCGAAGGTGGGGAGGCCAGTGAAGAGGCTACTTTAAGGGTCCAGGTAAATGGGACCAGGGGAGGGACTAGGGAAACAGAGTGGAAGGGACAGGTGAGGAAGGCCTCCCTTGTCTCTCGAATTTGGCCAACACAGGCTCCAGATGTTCTGTCCATCTGTGCTCCAGATTTACCTCCCCTCACTCTCAGGCCCCAGGGGGC